TCCAGCAGGCCGCAGCAGGTACCCCGGGAGGTCTCCCACAACCGCACGCGCCCGTCGGCGAACCTTTCGACGAGGCCCCATCTTCCTCGCCCTCGCCCTCCCAGCATGGTCCTCCTCTCATGCTCCCAGCATGACCTCGATTCGTATCCCTCCTGCTCCTCCTCCTCCTCCTCCTCCTCCTCCTCCTCCTCCTCGCTCCTCATCATCATCAGTCCATCAGCATCATCAGCATACATCATCATCCATAATCATCATCATCATCAGCATGCATCATAATCATCACTCTTTCTCTGTCTCCTCCCCCCTCCTCCCCCCCCATCACCTCCCCCCAAACTCCGTCCTCCCCCTCCTCCCCGCCCCCCTCCCCGCTCCCCCACCTCCCCTCCTCCTCCCCGCCGCCGCCGCCCGCCCGCCCGCAGAGGCACCCGGTCGCGGCGTCTGCGCGCAGGTCCGCGCAGGACATGCCATGGCCCCCGCGGCCCCCGCCCGGCTGTCCAGGGCCGCGCGCGCGCAGGGCCGCAGCGGCTCCGAGGTCCCCTGGGGCCGCTGCGGAGGCTGCGGGGGGGGAGGAGGCTGCGGAGGGAGGAAGGGAAGGGGCGGAAGGGAGGGAGTGGCGGGGGGAGGAGGGCGCGGATCTCGCACGCAGTCGTGACCGGGTTCGCGGGAGGAGGGCGAGGAGGAGGAGGAGGAGGAGGCGGAGGAGGAGGAGGAGGCGGAGGCGGAGGAGAGCGGGGGAGAGCGGGGGGCATGGACGCAACAGCGCCTCGTTCACCCATGTCCGGGTCACTAAACGGACGTGTTGGGGGGAGGGAGGAGGAAGAGGAGGAGGAGGAGGAGGAGGAGGAGGAGGAGGATCTTCCAAGCGCAAATTTACCACGCTCCTCCAGGGTTCGCAAACTTCCTGGGGGAGCGTGGGACACGTACAAATACATGGGAGTCGCGCCCCTGAAACCATACATGCTCGTAAATTACACCATGTTCGCGTCCCCGAGGCCATACACCGTGTAAATCACACATTTTTCGCGTCCTCGAGGCCATAAGCCCTTGTAACTTAAATACTGCTTGTGTCCCCTAAGCCATAGACCGGGGTCAGTTATACCATGTTCGCGTCTCCGAGACCATAAACCATGTAAATTACATAATGTTCGCGTCCACGAGGCCCCAACCCGATTAAAGTATGCGATACTCGCGCATTCGAAGCCACAAACCCTTGCACATTGCACAATACTCGCGTCCCCGAGGCTATCCAACCTTGTAAGTTACACGATATTCGCGCATTCGAGGCCATAAATCGGGGTTGGACAGACCCCTCTTTAGTAAAACGTGGTTTAGTGAAAACGACCTGAGGCCCAAACCTGGCGGGCGCGAGCCTGGAAAATAACGGCCACGGCGCCCTCTCGAGAACCGAAAATGGACAATTCACTAATCGACGTGTCACTGTTGGGGGTTCTGTCCACCTCCGAATAAACCCTAGGAAGTTACACAAGGCTCGCGCCCCCGAAGCCATACAACCTCGTGAAGTACGCGATCGTTGCGCCCTCGAGTCAATACAACCCCTGCGTGAATTACGCCGTCTTCGCGGCTCCGAAGCCCTAAACCATGGAACATTAGACAATACTCACGCCCCCGAAACCAGAAACCTTCAAACGCTACGCAACGTTCGCGTCTCCAGGGCCATAAACCCTCGTGAGGGACTGACCCCCCACCTCTGCTCGCGGCCTATTGCGTGCAGCCCCCCATGCTCCCCGAAGCCACGTCCCTCGGGCCCCGCTCGAGGATGGCGTGCACATCCCGCATTGGCAGCTGATGCCTCATCCCCGGTTCCACGCGGGCCCGCTCAAGGGAGGCGCACTTCCAGCACGGCAACTGATGCCTAATACACCCCCCTTCCACGCGTGCCCGCTTGAGCATGGTGCCCTTCCCGCGTGGCAGCTTATGCCTGAACCCCCATTCCACGCGTGCCGGCTCGAGGATGGTGCCCTTCTCGCATGGCAGCCAATGCCTGAACCCTCTTTTCGTGCGCGCCCGCTCGAGGATTGTGCACTTCCCGCATGGCTGCTAACTCCTAGGTCCGAAATCCCACGCGCACCCGCTGGACGATCGTGCACTTCCCGCATTCCCGGGCGCTGCTCCCAAGCGCTCCAGGGAGGGCCTCCCAAGCAACGATCCCTCGGTAAAGACGACGGGTTTACGTCCTGAGCTTCCAAGACGGCCCGTGCAGGCAACCAGGGACACCAAGATGGCCCAATATGTCTCGAAAATGGCCCAAGATGGCCACAAGGCGGTCGAACATTGATTCAAGACGGCCCACGGTGCCTCAAAGAAGGCAAAAAAATGGCGACAAGAGGACCCTTCGACTTTTGTTTAATGATTTGCGCATGATCGTCTCTTCGGGCTATCGTCAGCTCAAGACAACCGAAGAGGACTCCACGATGCCCCGAGAGGCATCCAAGACGGCCCCCAGACTGCCCAAGAAGACCTAACGTGGAACCCAAGACGGTCTTGGAAGGCCCTTCGACGGCCCAAGACGGCATCATCATCATCATCATCATCATCATCATCATCATCATCATCATCATCATCATCAGCATCATCATCATCATCATCCTCATCCTCATCCTCATCCTCATCCTCATCATCATCATCAGCAGCATCAGCATCAGCATAAGCATAAGCATCATCATCATCATCACCATCATCATCATCATCATCAGCAGCATCGGCATCAGCATCATCATCAGCATCATCATCATCGTCATCAAAATCAGAATCACCATCATCACCACCATCATCAGCATCATCATCATCATCGTCATCATAATCGGCATCATCATCAGCATCATCAACAGCATCATCATCAGCAGCATGAGCACCAGCATCGTCATCGTCACCATCAGCATCAGCATCATCATCATCAGTTTCATCGTCATCAGCATCAGCAGCATCATCATCGTAATCAGCATCATCATCAGCATCATCAGCATCATCATCAGCATCACCATAATCAGCCGTATCATCATCATCATCATCACCATCATCATGATCATCATCAGCAGCATCAGCAGAATCAGCATTATCATCAGCATCAGCAGCATCAACTTCAGTATCAGCATCATCATCGCCATCGTTAATCACCATCGTCGGCATCATGATCCTCATCAGCATCATCATCATCGTCATCATCATCAGCATCATCACCACAATCATCATCATCATCATCATCATCATCATCCTCATCATCATCATCATCATCATCATCATCCGCCTCCTCCTGCTCCTTGTCGTCGGCATCGTCGTCGCCATCGTCATCGTCATCATCACCATCAGCATAACCATTATCATCGTCATCATCATCATCATCATCATGATCATCATCCTCACCAGCATCATCAACACCATCATCAACAACAGCATCACCATCATGACTGGATTCGTCTTCCTCGTCGTCATCAGGATCAACATAATCAACGTCACCGTCGTCGCCATCGTCAGCATCGTCGTCAACAACACCAACGCCATCACCACTACCACCGTCATCATTATCATGAACCGTATCATCACCATCATAATCAACGATATCGCCATCGTCATCAAAATCGCCATCGTCATCGTCGTCCGTTTTACCAGCCGCATCATCATCATCAACAGCATCCGCATCACCGTCATCCTCATCTACATCCTCATCCTCAACATCATTATCATCTTCGTAATCGTCGTCGTCATCACTCCCAGCATACTCATAATCACCATCACTTTCATCATCGTAATCGCGGCTCTCCCAAGCCTGGAGACACAAGTTGTCACACGTGACGGCTCCCCTTGCCCCCTCGAACAGTCGCCACCCAGAAAGCTTTGCTGGCACGGTGGCGGCACTTGCCGTACTAAGTGGGGCAGGTGCTAAATCATGCTAAATATGGTAAGTTGAGCCAGGCAGACCAAACATACGCTCAAATGGAGCTGACGGCATGCGCAGGGCGAGAACAGGTCAAGGCATTGGCACTGAAGGCACTGAAAGCTCGGCGACATGAAGGTGAATACGCAGGTTGTCATGTGATACGCGAGCGGAATCACAGTATTTATGTACATGACAAGGTATGCACTGGCATGGGTCGTGGGTTCGAACATGCAGAGTGATATGGTGTGTGTACGGGGGCAAGAAGATACGTATGACTATGGTGGGACAAGTCTTGATATTAATGTGGTGACGACGGAACGAGAAAACGAGACACCCTTTGCGCGCCCTCCCGACTCGCCTCCCTCAATATCAGTCCTCCCCTTCCTCCCTCTCCTTTCCCGTTTGAGCTTTCAGGAGCTCTCCTGGATGAGTCTCACGCTGGCCTGCCAGCGACGAAATACGCGCTAAATCCCTCTCCTGCGCGCCTGCCCCTCTCCTCCTTTTCCTCCCGTCACCTCGCTGGTGCGACACCGCATGTCAATGCCACGCGAGCCTAAACAGAGCAGAATGGAACACTGGATAATTGCAATCTCACTTGCTCCGACGAGTCCGAATCCTCACTGGCTTTGCGATACGGAACATCCAGGCGGTCGGCACGAACCAACACAAGAAATAGACAAGACAGAACAATGAAACGAACCAAGGAACGGGCAAAGACGACGACGACGACGACGACGCCGACGCCGACGACGACGACCAGGACGAGCACCAGCAGAAGACGAGGACAAACGAAGACGGCGACGACGACGACGACGACGACGACGACGAGCGGTCGACGCGCGGTTCCTCGTCCCGCCGCGGGTCCGTGCACTCGCCGCTGCTGCCGCGACGGCCGCTCCCGCCTGCCGCCGGGAGCCGCCCGCGCGCGCGGAGGGGGGGGGGGGGCGGGCGCCGCCGAAGCCCGGCCGCTGCGCGGGCCCGCGGGGGGGGGGCCGGCGGCGAACCGAACGATCTGCGCCCACGGCCGCGACCGCCGCGGCGGCGGCGGCGCCGCCGCCGACGGCGACAGCGACAGCGACAGCGGCGGCGGCGGCGGCGGCGGCGG